TAATAAATCTTAGAACTGCAAGGTACATTGTCAAGTCCTGTCCCTGTTAAGGAGGCCCAGGGGAGAATCAAACTCCTAACCTCTGGCTCCACGGACAGATACCTTCAACCACTGAGCTATACAGCAATTTTTATGGAAGATGGCACAATAAATCACCTATTACAGAAAGTGTAGGCAATGAAAAATCAACATATTACACACAAGTGATATATAGATGTTAAAAAGTGTTACTGAAAAATGGACACTGTGGAGAAAACCCATTGCTTTCAGTAAAAATTTTCAAGAATATTAGAGGATATGATTGAGAGTCTGTGAACAACTTCATTCTTAATTAGTTCAACCTATTTCTAGAGGATGTTTCAAAGGAAGCTGAAGTTTGCAAAATTATTCCTTCTATTAATACATATTTTTTGGAGAAAAGAATGTACACGATCTACACGGTGTACACGCTGCTAAAAGCCTATGAACTTTTAGTACTGAAATGTACTCTTCATGGTTTTGTGAAGAGAAAATACCTGTGGAGTTGGGTTTATATGCATGTTTCAAACATATAAACCATCACTCATGCAACATTATAGTTTCCAGTTTTAACTTGTTAACTGTCCAGAGTTGTATGTGCACTAATGGGGCAGTTTATAAACCAGATAAATAAATAAATAAAGTTGATAAGTGTTGAACATGTAAATATGAATGCAGTCTTAACTCTAGTAACAATCAAACTTATTTCTAAGTAAACAGGTCAGGTGTTTAGTTCTCTGTTTGCAAAACAAGAGGCTGGGAGATCAATTCCACACTGTGCCTCCTTGGCAGGGGCCAGACTTGATGACCCATAGTGTCCCTTCCTGTTCTCCAGTTCGACAATGATGAGGATGATTTATATGTAAACAATGCTTTCTTTTCCTAATGAATGTAAATGATGTGGCAGAGTAAGAGGACAGAGAAATACTGTCCTGCAAACTATTTCATAATCCCTAATTATCCTTATAAGTCTTTCTTACAATCAAAGGTTTCGTATATAATACCTAACTTGATAATACAATCTTGCTACCAAATATTTCAATGTATGTTTCTTCCCTAGAGATTCAATTGAGCTTGATGGAAAACTGTGCATACCATCTTCAACATCTTGGGATGTACAACTTGGAATGTAGAAATGTTTTAGAAAGATATTTTCAGAGCAACAGGTGACCATTTGTGATGGGATGAAAAAACAATATACACATACACAGGAATTGGTATGTTTATAATAAGCATTGGTACAAGGTAAAATGCCTCAAGGAACAAATGATTCTATGTATGTGTTTTTCTGCAACTTTTGAATAGAACAGGAAAGAAACTGTACACATTTGATTAGCCTTATGTAGACATCAATTAAGCTTTAAAAATCTTCCAAGGATGTTATAAACAGGTGCCTAGAAAATCAGGCACAGATATCTTTCCTTGCCAATGTCCTTTAGCTAACATTTTACTGGTGATATTTAGACTAGATTTGTTTGTGTACATGGTGTGGACTTTTTTGACTTGAACCAAATGTCTACAGACTTCATAAGCAAACAGACCTTGTTTCCTCAAGGAGACTGCCTTGCCACTGAGGAAAATGATAAGCAATGGCTCCCTGTTTTCTGAAAATGATGTTTCCTCAAAAGATCTGATCTCTCCTCCGACCCCATCCTTCATTAAACATATAGACATAAGTCATTCTCGAACTATGGCTTGCTTGACTGACTATAGCTTGATTTTCACTTTCAACATTCAAATCCACACTCTTTTCTGGGATTTATAGGATATGAGACAATAACCTCAAAGAACACATATTTATTTGTGTTCACTCAGGAGGAACAGAAAAGAACTGCAGGTTTCTCATCTTACTAACTTCTGAAAGTAATGCCAGTGTTTCTCACTGGCCCACCTCTGAACATCCTTGCAACTGTTTCTTTCTTCCTTCCTTCTTCCTCCTCCTCTTCCTCCTCCTTCTCCCCTTCAAGTAGAGAAGGCCAACAAACTAGGATTGTAACTTCATAAAATAAAGAGAGCAGGAAAGAAAGCTGGTGCAATGCACCCAGGCTTTCCCTTTTCAAGATACCTTTTTATGTGGGTCAGGCTACATCTTCCAGTTCCTTTTAATTTAAAATGCAAACTGTGGTCAGAGGAGATTTCTACATCTTCCATCAATTAGACTTCCTCCACCTCCTTCTCCCCTCCCCCGCAGATAATAAAACTGCCTGCAAAGGGTTTCCTCTCTTTTTCCAGCTGATGCACTCAGCCCAAGCAAAGCTTAATGCTACAGGATAAAGAGGACATGCAAACTTCATTTATCCAGCTCACCCACCTACTCACCCAACTGCTACACAAAGATTCAAATGAGCTGGATCTTGCCTTGAAAGAAAGAAAAAAACTACTAACCCACACAATACAGGAGATGGCATGCACACAAAGGAACTGAAGAAATAAAGGCTTGTCCTTGGGGGATAAATATGAATTGTGTTGCCTACCTCTGAGTTCTCCAGATGTAGGTTGGGGAAACCAAGAAATGACATTAGCTGAGGGGAACTAGAGAAGGAGGTGACTAAAGAGCATTTCTTGTTATTGCTGAGTCTAAGAAGCACACATGAACGAACCACCCATCCTTAAATCCATCTGGGTGAGTTGCTGTGCCTGAGCAGTTTGGATATCTGAACCAAACATTTGCAACTTTCTCCTCTGTTATTCTGGGACCATGTCTGGAATCATTATCTTGTAAGCCAGGAAGGTGAACAAGGTTTTGAAGGGCTAGGCAAATCAAGAACAGCACCAAGAAACTCAAATATGCACTCAGGGCTTAACATAGAAGGGTGACATGGGTGGAAGAAACTAAGTTACCTGTTGCAGCCTTTCCATGTAGGCAACCAGACATACTTGCCCAGATGGCTGTTGCAGCCGAAGTTCCTGATGCCCATTTCTCTTTCCACAGGAAGGAGATTCAGTTCTTCTCGTCGGCAACAGCGGATCTCTTTTGGGCATATAGTTTTCCTTTCTTCAGTTTTGCACCGATACCCTCACCTCAGCAGGGAAACCTCAAGTTTCCTTTAAGCCGCTTTTAATAAACTCTCTGGTTCTGCTTTGGCTTATGCCTTCTCAGCTTGGCAAGTCTCAGTTCAAAGGACCCACACCATTCCACCCGGCTTGCCCTATCAGGAGTTAAGGAAACCCCAGAAAGTGAGGGACGCGCTGCCGCCAAGCTGAGTGACTTCGAGAAAGTAAGACAAAAACATACATGCCAGACAGAAGCGCGCTCAGCCGCTTTCCACGGCGTGCGTCATCTCATCTCGGAGATTCAGATTATACTTAAGAGCAGTGTGTATGTGTGTGTGTGCGTGCGTGCGTGTGTAGCAGTTCAGCGGAAGGAGCTGATCTGTGGTGTGGAAGCGACAGAGGCGGGTGCAAAAAAGAGAGAAAAGAAGAGAACAAGACGGGAACAAGGGCGGTTTCTGAGCATCCTTTTTGCCCCAGTCGTGAAAGCAGCCACAGTCCGATTGGACTTAGAAGGAGAGGCAAAAAGTCGTGTTTCTCACTGACTGCGAAGAAATCCATCTCTCTCTCTCACACACCGACACACAGACCGGCACATGCAGGGACACACACACGCCTGGCGTGTCCGCTGCCTTACCTTCTCCGCAGGTTACTCGATGGACATGCCATTCCATCCTCTTCAGGGGCTCCTGTTCAGCAGATGGGTTGAGGGGTTGCCATCCAGATGCTGAAGGAGGTTACTCTCGCTGCCCAGACGGACGGAGGGCGGGCCCGGGCAGGGAGAGAGCAAGCAAGCGACGAAGGGAGGAAGGAGGTGCTTACTCAGGGCGCTCTTACCCCAATCAGCTCATCAGGCGCACGGAGAGAGGGCGCGGGCGCTGGGTGTGCTGCTGCGAATGAGCATGGAGGAGACCTCTCCTCCCACCCTCGTGTTTCTCCTCCGGGTTTTTGTTTCAACAGTTGGGTTGCCTCTCTCCCTCTCTCCCTCTCTGCCCGGTCCCTGCTTTAGCAGACAGATGGCGCAGTCCCACCAGACTTGTCCGGCCGCCGTTTGGCCCAATCCCCTCGTCCAGAAAGTGCAAGGCTGGAGAAAGGCGCGTTCAGCACCACGGGACGGTGGACAGCGCCGCGCGCGTCCGGACGACTTCCGCCCCACTGCTCCGACCCTTTCCCACTCCCCTCCGTGGTTATGCCGTTTCCGCGACTCCCAGACGCCCGTTGCCCGTCAGAAAGGAGGCTCCGAGCTAAACATGGTGAATCAGACCAAAGACCCGCCCTGGCAGGGGAGTAGATCGAGGTCTTCAAAAAAGCAGAACCCTGCAAGTAGATTTCTTGCTCTGCTCCTCGTGTAGGCGGACAAGTACAGCGAATGCACAACACGACTCCTGAATTCCCTAGCACACAGCCCTCGGTTTTTGCCTTCCCATGATCACGAAGAAAGGACGCGTTGATCGCTAAAATAGCAAACTAAGAAAGACCTCTTTGAAAAGAAGGCATGAGGTTCCCTAGACACGTATTGCCATCTAACATCAGAAGCACGCTGCAAATAACGGGCTTTCGCGGAGCTTCCTGCACGTGGCAGGGGAGTAGGGAATTCTGAATGTTGCTGTGATAACGTGCGATACAGACGAGAAGCAGATAAAATGTCGAGGAGGGACTCCGGGAGAGGGGTTTAGCCTTTGGCAAGAGGCAGCTATGAGACTAGAGAGTCAGGTTTGCCAATCATGCGTGTCTCACCAGCAGATGTCACTCAAGATGAGTAAGACCTATTGTTGTAGGAGGCCCGCCTTACATTCCATTAAAGTGACAGTTCTGTGACAGATAGTGAAGTCAACTATTCTTAGCTCTCTGTCCCACTGCAGAGTCCTGGTGGAACTCTTGGGTAGAAGATGGCAGCAAAGTGAGTAGAATTGATTCTATACCCATCCCTAGTCATCCAGCCAGCCAAACTGCTATGCTATAGATGGTAACCTGAGTGGATCTGGAGCACAGATTCAACCTTTAATTAATTAATCAATGACAATGTTTAAGTGATCAAAAAGGCATCCTCATTAATTTGACTTTTTTTTTTAAAGAATGCAGATGGTTTTTGTGTAATTACTGAACAGTCACCTCCTTCAAGTTTTAATTATTTTTAAAGGCTGAAATCCTATATATTGAGGGTGGGCAAGTAATGGCCCTCCAGATGTTAGGCAGAGTCACATTACATCAAAGGAATAGGTTCACAGTTCAGGGATGGTCACTGATTCATCTTTGTCACTGGAAATGCAAGCTGTTCTTTTGCCATGAAATCAGCTCTCATCAGTTCAGGAGGGTGCTCCTGATGTGACCACACCTAGAAAGAGATAGTTTAGACCTATATTTTGGCAGTCTCTGCTATTGTGACACAAGATATGTGGGGTTGCCTTTGAAGGCAATAGCTAAATAATTACAGTAATAAGGACTGTGCATTTTATTGATACTGTGGCAGCTGTATTGGTTCCTAATCCATTTCCAGCCCCAGTTCAAAGGGCTAGTTTTGACTGTTACAAAAATATATTACAGCTTAGTGCTAAGGCACATAAAGGAACATTTGAATCTCTATGTGCAGAATAATAGGAACCTGGTGCATCTCTACAGTGGAATTGGTGATTAAAATGATAATTTCAAATCTACTATCAGCTGTTGAACAAAATTGTTTTCAAGGAACACTGCTTGTGACTGGCCTTACTGTGTTCTTTTTGTTAGGCAGAATTTCCACTGCGTTAAATCTGGAAAAAAGACTTCCATTGATTCGGTAGGAACTTTAAATAATAAGTTGAAACATTCAATAATACGTTGAAAGAAGCATAGCTGAAACTGCACGTGTGAGTTATAGACTCCACTGTCAAAAAATATCTCTAAGGAAAATAATTTTTTCACTGCTAAACCTTACCTCTTTCTCAAATAACTTGAAGTTATGGGGTGAATATTTCATAGGCTATAGGTGATGCATTGTTCATTCCAAAATGAGAGAAGAAATACATGCAATATCTGTGTTTATAATAATCAGTGGCTACATAGATATAGGACAATTTTTTGTGACTGTGAAGAAATTCAATCAATGTAGCACTTATGCCCTACCTCATGTACAAAAGAGGATCTAGCAAATGGCTGAGACAACGCTATTGAAGTAGCCGGCTTCTGGACAAAAACAGTCTAATAACATTTTTATTTGTTTTTAATTGTACCTATATTTCATATATGCCCATAATTTTAAATTGTGAAATGCTCTGATATGAAGAAAGAAAGAGAGCCAGTGAGCCAACCCTATAATCCACATCAGGTCTCTCTCCTCTGGCTGCAGCTATGTCATCAAGGTTCCCCATTGGCCCTACGGAGACAGAATGCTGCCTAGAGTCACTCATGGCTGTTTTCCAGCGCTATGTCTGTCATGATGGGCATGCCAATACTCTTTCCAAGAAGAAGTTATTGACCTTCATGAACACAGAATTGGCATCTTTCACAAAGAACCAGAAAGACCCAGGCATTGTGGACCGCACAATGAAGAAACTGGACATAAACTCCAATGGCTTCCTGGACTTTAGTGAGTTCTCAAACCTGATTTGGGGCCTCGCCCAAGCCTGCCATGAACAAGTGTGGAAGGCCTCCACCAGTGGCAACCTCACAGGCCGTGACCATGCCTGGGCTCAGACCAACATCAACACAAACATTCCCAAACGTAGCATTCACGTAAGACTACAACAAACGGCAAAGCATATCCTGCAACCATCATCTTTGTCTTCTTTTGTATTTTTCTCAATAAAATCAACATTTTCTCAAAAAAGAAAAAAAGAAAGGGAGGGAGGAAGTAAGGAAGATGTAAGTTGCGGGACTAGCAATGGCTTTAAAAGCTCATGCTTCTCTCTGTCTTCTTTCAATTATCCCAGTTAGGCATCAGTGTCAGAGATCATTGAGCCAAGGTACACAAAGTCATGAACAACCTCCAATTCTTGCATGGAGATTGTAATGGAGGGAGGTGAGTCCACGCCCTGGCCCATGACTTCTGTTTTCTTCAGACTGATTGTTAGTCCAAAGTCTTGGCAGGCCTTGCTAAAACAATTCATGAGTTATTGGAGGTCTTCAGCAGAATGGGCAACAATGGCTGCATCATCGGCGAAGAGGAAGTCGCGCATGCATTTCAGTTGGACTTTGGTCCCTGCTCTCAATCTAAAGAGATTAAGGAGCTTTCCGTCTGATCTAGTCCAGAGACAGACACATTCTGTTGCAATCCAAAGTCTTGGCAGGCCTTGCTAAAACAATTCATGAGTTATTGGAGGTCTTCAGCAGAATGGGCAACAATGGCTGCATCATCGGCGAAGAGGAAGTCGCGCATGCATTTCAGTTGGACTTTGGTCCCTGCTCTCAATCTAAAGAGATTAAGGAGCTTTCCGTCTGATCTAGTCCAGAGACAGACACATTCTGTTGCAATTCCAAAGATGTGCTTCAGCATGACAGCAAAAAAGATCCCAAAAAAGGGTTGGTGCGAGGACACAGCCTGTTTCACTCCACTTCGGATGTCAAAGGGATCTGATGTTGAGTCATCCAAACTACAGTGCCTTTCATTCCCTCATGAAAGGACCTGAAAATGTTAAGGAGTTGAGGTGGACATCCAATCTTGGGAAGTATTTTAAAAAGGCCATCCCTGCTAACCAAATCAAAGGCCTTTGTGAGATCTATGAAGGCCACAAAGAGTGGCTGTTGTTCCCTACATTTCTCCTGCAACTGTCTGAGGGAGAATACCATGTCAGTGGTGGATCTATTAGCTCGAAATCCACACTGTGATTCTGGATAGACTCTCTCTGCAAGCACCTGGAGCATGTTCAGCACAACACGGGCCAGCAGCTTCCATACAACACTGAGAAGAGAGATGCCACAGTAGTTATTACAGTCACCCCAGTCTCCTTTGTTCTTGTACAATGTGACGATGTTTGCATCCTTCATGTCCTGTGCTACTTCGCCTTCCCTCCAGCAAAGATGAAAGACCTCATACAGTTCAGTGGTGATGATCTCTTTACAGCACTTCAGCACTTCAACAGGGATGTTATCCTTTTCAGGTGCCTTGCCGGAGGCAAGGGAATCCAAGGCTGCTTTTATTTCTGCTAAGGTTTGATCACTGTCGAACTCTTCCAAGACAGGCAAGGACTCGATGTTATTTAATGCTTCTTCGGTTACTACATTCTCTCTGGAATATAGCTCAGAGTACTGCTGCACCCAGCGATCCATCTGCTGTGCTCAGTCCTGGATGATCACACCTGAAGCAGACTTCAAGGGAACAGATTTCTTCTGTATTGGACCTAAAGCCTGCTTGATACCATCATACATTCCTTTGATGTTACCTGTGTCCACTGCTATCTGTATCTCAGAGCAGAGCTGAAGCCAATAATCGTTGGAACATCTCCTGGCAGCGTGTTGGACTCAGCTATCAGCAGCTCGAAGAGCTTGCAAGTTGTACACTCTAAGACAGGCTTTGTATGCTGCTAGAGCTCTCCTCTTATCCTTGATGGCTGGCATCAATGCCTCCGAATGGGCTTTGAATCAGTTGGCTATCTTTTTGGTCTTCTTACCAAAAGTGGACAAGACAGTGTTATACACAGCATTCTTGAAATGTTCCCATCGTTCAGATGCATTTGCATCAGCCGGGCCTGGAAGGGTTTCCTCAAGCGCTTGGGCAAATTCCTCCACTTTTCTTTGATCACGAGTCTTGCTGATGTCAGTACGTGGTCTTCCTTCCCTTTTCTTGTGATACAATCTCTTTGTTCACAGTTTTACTCTACTACACACCAGGGAATGATCAGTATCACAATTAGCACTCCGGTAACTGCGTGTGATCATAATACTGTACTAGGAAGGCAAGAATGTCTAGTGAGGGTCAAATTGAGTTGATGCCAATGCTTGGATCTTGGAT